ACACCCCCCCCCCCCCCCCCCCCCCCCCCCCCCTCCCCCTCCCCCCCCCCCCCACACACACACACACACACACACACACACACACACACACTTTTATTTACTGGATTGGGGAAATGTGTTTGTGAGGGAAGCCACTGTAGAGAGAAATGCAAGGTTTGGTATCACAGAAGCTTGAAAAGACATCTCCAGATAGGTTTAGTGTGGAAGGATAAGTCTACAGCAGTGACAAAGAGAATCTCCTTGAAATCAGGATTAAATCCAAAGTGGAATAGGGTATGGGGGTGCGAAGCACCTTGGGCCCTTCGTTCTTCCCATTATACAAGACAAAGTGTACTTCTTGAGATAGCAGGTGTCTCAGACCTAATGTCTAAAATCTCATTTTGTGGATATAGCTGGGGCCCAGGGGTGGCTGTGAAGGTAGGAGCAAACTAGAAGTTGTCTCAAAATATTGGATCCTATGAGGTAAGATATGGGTTGCCCCTCATAGGGTTTAAAATAGAGCACCTTCAGCAGAGGGAAGTTGGCCAAAACGCTGGGGTCCAGCTCTTCCACATGGTAGAGAAGTTCAACCAGGTAAACATCAGCCCTGCTCAGCCTGTTGCCAACGAGATAATCTTGTCCATGGCCCTTTAACACCTGAAGGATTTAAGATGTTAATTAGATGCAAAAGAAAACAGCCATCAGACTGGGCTTCTTGACTTTTTCTGAGGTTCTCAAGTCAAATTCCATTCTGCTGTCTTTTCAGGTGTGTAAGGAGCTCCGCATCTTTCTCTATATGTAAATTACACTATCATTTTGTTCTTATGCCAAGTAGTTGTTCATATTTCTATGTATATATGCATAATCTGATATCTATTTGATAACATTATTTTGCTGTTGTTGTTTTTGGTTTTTTGAGACAGGGTTTCTCTGTGTAGTTTTGGAGCCTATCCTGGCACTCTCTCTGTAGACCAGGCTGGCCCAAAATCAAGAAGCACATCTCTGCCAATCTTTTTATCATCTGTCTTTCACTGCTTTTCATGTGCCAAACTCCCAGCTCCAGCTGCACTATCCACCCCGCTCAATGGCGTGAAGTTCTGACGTTTGAGGGTGTACCGTATTCTGTAGTCTCTTAGTGGGAAGTGGCTTCACTTGTGTGAATACACCCTTCACCCTTGAGTAGACTGCTTCAGTGACTACAGTCCCACTCGTTTGCTCCCAGTGTCTTTCTATGCATGACATGAAGAGTAATCTGGATCATTATCTCCTCTGCAACATTGACTTTGGCTCTTTATACACTGTCACATCCTCTCAGTGCTGAGGCAACAAAGGGTTAACTGCATGTATGTCTCTAGTGAATTTTGGAATGCCAGAAAAAAATACCATGGTGGAAAGAAGAATGTGTAGGTGGGGGAGGGGAGGAAGGGACACGTACAACAAAGCCAGCACCACAGGATATTGAATTTGGCATCAAGTAGATGATGCCAATATGTTCTTTAATCTAACTAGCCTGATTTCTTTCTTTCTCGCTCTCTTTCTCTCTTCCTTCCTTCCTTCCTTCCTTTCTTTCTTTTTTCCTTCCTTCCTTCCTTTTTTTATATTTTGGAGACAAGGTTTCATGATTGTAGCCCAGGCTGGCCTCAAACTCACTGTGTACTTAGCCTAGTCTTGTTCTCATCATTCTGCTTTTATGTCTTAAGCTTGGCTTACAGACTTGCATCACCATGCCTATCTCAACCTTTGTAGATGATTGAAAGTTTTTATAAAAAATATTGAGTAATACGTAATACATGTTACTTCAATGTTAGAGTCCTGAAGAATAAAGAAGAGAAATACTGTAACACTACCAATTAAAAATAATGTTATCAGGCCAGGCATTGGTGGTGCACACCTTTATTCCCAGCATTCAGGAGGCAGAGGCAGGAGGATCTCTGTGAGCTCGAGGCCAGCCTGGTCTACAGAGCGAGTGCCAGGATAGGCTCCAAAGCTACACAGAGAAACCCTGTCTCGAAAAACCAAAAACAACAACAGCAAAATAATGTTATCAAATAGATATCAGATTATGCATATATACATAGAAATATGAACAACTACTTGGCATAAGAACAAAATGATAGTGTAATTTACATTTTTGCTGATATTCTAGGGGCTCTTTGGTTTCACAGTATAGATGACAAGCTGTAATGAATAGAGAGCATCTAGGAGTCCAAAATAGTCTATGGATCCTCTAACAGTGGAGCCAGTCTTTATCCTTAGAGCACAAATGGACTTTGGGAGCCCATTCCCTATGGAGGGATACTAATGCAACCCAGATACAGCAAGGAGGATCTAGACCCTAATAATAAAGAAAAAGAATAGAGAGCATCTCTTCATGGACTAAATCCTAATCTGTCAGAATCCCAAGGGCGACAAGGGAGAATCTGAGGATATGAGTACTTGTACTCTTATCTGTGCCCTGGGTCTGACACAAATCAGTTAATATTTGTTGAATGGAGGAAGGAAGGAATGCAGAATAATTTAATGCTAAGTAAGCTTTTACAAAACAAATGGGAACAATAGGAACTATTTGCTAAAATATCTCAACATTATTGAAACCTGAAGAACAAAATGCCCATGGTCATTGAAGTAGAAGTGAGCAGAAGTCAGATGGTTTTCCTTCATCTGCAAGATTCCTGCCAGTGACATGCTTAGACATTTCTTTTTTGCTCAGTTTGGCCTCACATAGTTTGATTCTGAAACATGGCCTCTTCATTTGTAAATGAAACTATTAGTAGGATGATACACATACAACAATAAAATGCACATATACATATGGAAATAGAGCTCTATTCCATTATATCTGTGCAACTTTCTTGTAAAAATCTTAGAGCAATGTTGCTAACTCTGGCAGTTATGTTTTTCTTCACATCTCCTCACTGTCTCTTCCCTTCCATGCCTCTGTCAATATTGGGTAGCTACTCTGCATCCATCCTGAAACAGTATAAAACTCTCCTCATGGGGACCTGTTTCAGGCCTCCCTATACTTGGGGAAAGGTGCTTTCTGTTGTGTTATTCTCATTTGATACTCTTGAGTCAAAAGATTAGTTCCAGTGTTCTGTCAAATCAAGCCCAGCTTCCAGTGTGGCTCAGATGTTTGCATACCCCAAGTTCTAATTGAGACTGTGAACTCTGTCAGAAAAATTCTATGGTGGGTCATAGCAAAACAATATTTGGGGGGGAACTTATATTTGCTATATCCATGTCAAAGGCTGTTTACATTCCACTTTTACACAATGCCTCAATGGGTGCTGAATTAACAAGTCCATTCTGAAAGGGAGGACCAACAAGCCAAGAGCACCTAGACCTTTTTTCTCTTGCCTCTGTTGTAATTGAGGATCTCTGTCTCCCCCAAATTAAGATGATAAGTACCCTATCACAAAGCACTATGCTGTTAGTAAATAGGACCCTTGAGAGGGGAATAGATCCTACAGGTTAGGGATCATGAATGGGTTTCCTGCTCCCAGCAAGGGGCACCAGAGAGCTGCCACCCCCATCTGCTGTTGAAGACACAGACAGAAGGCAAGCATGCATGAACTAAGAAGCAAGTCTGGCTAGAAACCAATCTATAATGTCTTGATTTTATACTTCATATTATGCTTTAACCCACACAGTGCTTGACATCTTTGTTGTAGCAATGTTAGCTGCTGAGATGCCCCTGAGAACTAATGGACCCTCTGAATGCTCTGCAGGTCAAACAGCTGGCACTCACCTTCTCATAGGCAGGGAAGTAACGGTTCCTTGCTTTGTCCTTGATCTTGGCAAGGTTTGCCTCTTTCTCCTCTTGGGGAATATAAGGTTGATGGAGAACTATTTCATCCAGATCTGCTATACCTTCCGCATACATGTCAATGCTGAAAAACAGACAAGCGTTCTGCCAAAGTCCTTTTGCTTCAGCCTCAGATTTTATAGTTGAAGGATGTAAAAGACAGGGGTAAAATAGTTCACCTTGATGGGGCTGTAGACCTGGTAATAATAGATTTTTGCTTGCTGACTAGCAATCCTTTGAGATTTGTTGTTGTTGTTGTTGTTGAGACAGGGTCTCTATGTAGCTCTGGCTGGCCTGTATATATACTATGTTGACAGGCTGGCCTTAACCTCAAATATCCTCTGCCTTTGTCACTGAGTACTGAGATAAAAGCAAACGCCACAACCTCCAGCAGCATTCCCTTTTAAATGACCTAAAGGGCAAGCAAGCAAGGTTCCTCTCTTCATCCATTCTTCTGTTAACATTTGGCTCATTTTCTTTTTGGAAAGTATAGTATTTGAACATAAATAATACGTCTATGAACAGTTCTGTGCAATTACTCAAGTATTTTTATTTCTCTTGTGTACTTTTCTAGTAATGGAACTGCTGGGTTATTGTTGACTTGGTGTTTAAGTTTTTGAGAAAAAACCCACAGTTCCAGAGAAGATTTAGTTTGAATGGGGACATTCTATCAGGAGAAAGAAAACCTCATGATCAGTCTTGACACCCACAAACAGCCTCCATTTCCCACAAAAAGCTTCATGCAATGCTGATGTCTTTGTGTCAGACTCTATGAACCACAATCAACCTGACGGATATAGATTTCCATGGTAACCTAGGGTCCTGTCAGAACTGGAAGATCAGCTCTTAAGATCATTGATTTGATACCAGTCAAAGACTTTTTCCTTGTCTAAAGTTATTGGCTACAATGTTGCTTCTGAAGACTAAACAAACAAAAATGGGACTCCACCATCTCCTATTCTACATGAGACAACCTAACCCCTCCTAATTTTCCATCATGCCCCCTCACATTCTTCCCTCAACTCCATAGTAGACTTCTTAACTGATGTCAGTGTTTGTATGCCCAAGCACTCAGGCCCTTTTTGTTCATGAGTCCTTTGCTATGGTTCACTCAAGATGGGACCCAAATATTTCCCAGAGTAAACATATCATACAGGGCTCTCTCCTTCATGTCCTTCCCATAGAGGTTGTATTTGGAGGCAATGTAGTTGAGAATGGCTCTGGTCTGCACCAGCTTCATCCCGTCAATCTCCACCATGGGCACTTGCTGGAACATCAAACTCCCATCTATTAGATGAAGCAAAGAGAAAGGAGAATAAGATGTTTATGGGCTTATAATACACACAGACACACATGCACACACACACACACACACACACACACACACAGATACATTCATTCCATGGTAAGACACATTCAAAACAAAAAGTATTTGGCGAAATGACAGAAATTCTAAAATAGGTAATTACATGATAACTACCATTTGAATGAAATAGCATTTAAATTTTTTGTTTTCTGTGTCTTTAGTGTCTTCTAAGTTCTATCATTTTTATCTTATTTATGTTTTTATTTGATATTGACAATATTTCGGTATTTGTTGCCCAGGATGTGATGGTGGCATGAATTAAACGACATTTGTTTGTCCATGCTAACAGCAGCAAGCATGCAAAAACAGAGAGAAGTCATTCATGGGGCTATGGGGATGACTTCAGCAAGTACAGAGACAGTTTCAGCCCTTTTAACTGAGATATTTATAAGATCTGCTTACAGTGACTTCAGGACTTACAATTTACCACCCTTTCATCAATGAATACTACAGTTACATAGGTACTGTCTAATTTTAAAGCTCCCACTAGAAACCCTCTCGGGAACATTTAGATCTTTGTTCTTACCATTTCTTAACCTTGCCAAGTCATCCCGAGTTTTCAGAAATTTTTCTTCAAACTAGAATACAGAAAGAATAAACAAGTCTTTATTAATTGATTTCATTGAATTCCTGGCTTTTCACTTTAATGACTCCTATCTGTAGATAACATGAGAGAAGGGAGATATTATTTAATTTGTCGAGTACACAGGTGAACTAGTCATGGCTTGTGGGAGTTAAGAGCAGATCTTTTAAGAAAAGAGCTGTGGTCACAACACATCACTTCTCCTTTTTGTAGTTGACATTGTCTTTCCCAGAACTCTACCTATGTATTAAGTTATGGGTTACAGAAATGACAGTGGAAGGAAAATGCTGACCATTTCTTGTAGCTATCATTTATAATTATAATATTTCAGCCTATTTCCAAGTGAGATCAGAAGGAACATTGTGTGTCTCCAGTATGGAATATGGCACACAACAGTGCTTAACATCTGCCAGTAGGCATGGTCTGTAATTACTTTTAGCAGAATGATCTGTAACTATTTTAAAACACAATATTGGAAACATTACAGAGGTAGGTTACAGTCAAATGTTGGAATCTCAACTACAGGCCTCTTTCAACCCTTTGACTGGTGAAGAATAAGCTTGTTAGATCTGGCACAGATGTGGACAAAGCATGGCTCTGTAGGGGTTAAAGATTACCCAAGATAAATAGGAATTAGCCTCTTGGTCTGAGACACACCAAGCTCTCCACAGTTTTAATCAGTCTCTGCACACTTTCCTTCTTTGTGGGAATTCTTGTTCACAGGTGCTTTTTGACATTATCCTTTTAACTTTTAAATATAGTTAAAATTGGTCTCATATTGGTGAAAATGTGCTTCATCCTAGATCCATATCTAATCATTTAAGTATTTTCCTGAAATTACAGAGGCTAGATGAAATCCCATACAAAGAGTCATCAAGGCATGTGACTCTTGGTGACATAGTTATGCCATGTCTCATACTGGCTGTGAAATTGTATAGTCAATCATTTAACACAGGAAAGACTTCATCCGCTCATGTGTAAACTTAGAGGAAGTGTATTCTTCTTTAAAAGAATGGTGGCATGTTTTCAAAACACTCAGTACCTCACTGGCCCCACAGAAAGCAAATATCCTTACAGAATACAGTGGTATGATTTTCAGTGACTTTTCCACTTTCATGGAGTTCCTGACTGTAAAACGTCAGGATATCAGGGTTACTTAGCATACTCTGTGTATCAGTTTCCTGTGGATCTGTATGATCACATGGTGTCACACCCAGGGACAAGAAGGTGGTATGATAACAATTTGCCGAACACCCAGCCCAGGAAAAACATGAAGGGTGGAGGGTGGGCACCCCAGGAGGATGGGCAGGGTGGGATGTGGCTGGAGTGGGATGTTGATGCAGAGGCTGCTGCTGCTGGATCGGCTGTAATGATCATCTTTTCTACACTAAGTAGGATCCAGGCAACTTGTTCTCAGCAGGCTCCTCAGTCATGCTGAGAGGCAGGAGAGGAAGCTGACATGCCTGCCACTTGTTCTTCCTGCACTGAACTTGCTCTTGAAACACAAGGCCACCATCTAGTTGCTTTGGAAAACAGACCACTGGTTTGTATGAAGAAAACAGTCTGTGATGCTGCTACAGTTTTGTTCTCCTTTCTTCATTACATTGAAACCAGATCAGGCCATACAATCCACATATTCACAGAGTGGTTGTGAATGGGTGCTAATCTGAGGCTTTGGTGAACACTTTGCTAGGAAGCTGAGCAGGGAGTGGAAGCCCAGCTGAAGGACAGAACCTCATATTGTAGTCCTCCCTGTCTGACCACCCCCTCCCAGAGACAAGGGCAGTTTCCATGACTTCCTTTTCAGAAGACCTGTCACCCAATTATGGGGTCCATCTGGCCTGTACTGAGAAGTTTTGTTCCCCTTGTAACAGTTCTAGAATGCAGTGTTCAAATGAGTCACACAGATCCCCAGTAAATAACTTGACTCCATGTCTCATGCACATAATTATATGGAAATTATGTAATATATGGAAATGAAGCTATGTCTGGCTGTGAAGGAAAACTCCTGGAAGGAGTCTGTGTGTGTGAAGACTGATGGACAGACTGGAATTTTGGCATTGGGAAGAGATTGGAATTGTGTTAAGTTCAGAGTCTACTTACTTTATCTTGGGCTAGTTTTACCCTTGTATAACAGTCATTCCTTGTCCCACCTTGTATTTGAACTAACATCTTGTGATAATAAATAGAAACCTCTTAGAAGCTATTAACTTAGAAGAACACCAGCATCTACCAATCCAACAGCTAAGAATGTCATCAGATAGCATCTTCGGTCTATAAACCATTTCCCCTCATCTTTTTGTCTTTGCCCTTCCAGTGTACCCACAAAATATTTTAAACTTGCCTTGATCTATGACTTTCTTTGTTCTGTAAAACTTTAAAATCCCTGTGAAACTGCTTTCATCTTTGTAGTGGTTTGAACAAGTATGGCCCCATAGACTCATGTGTTTGAATGCTTGCCCTATAGGAAGTGGCACTATTAGGAGGTGTGGCCTAGTTGGAGTAGGTGTGGCCTTGGTGGAGTAACAGAGTCAGTGTGGGTGAGGGCTTTGATGTCTCATATGCTCAAGTTACATCCAGTGTGGTAGACAGTTCACTTCCTATTGCCTACAAATCAAGATGAAGAACATAGAGCTCTTTCCTCAGCACCTTGTCTGCCTGCATGCCACCATGTCCCATCATGATGATAATGGACTAAACCTCTGAAATGGTGAACCATGCCAATTAAATGTTTTCCTTTATTAGAGTTGTGTGGTCCTGGTGTTGCTTCACAGCAATAAACACTCTAATTAAGAAAATTTTGGAATATGGAATTTAGGGTAACCCAAACCTGTTTTCCCTGCGCCATGGTCACTCATAATGGCTCCAGAATAAACTATTTATTACTTTTAAGATGAGATCTGTGGATTTTATGTTCATGATGCTTCCCAAAGGCCAGCATTGCATCTATTTTTGTTGCTGTTGTTTTGCCCTATATCATCAGGATTCAAAAAACAACCTGACTTTTCTAGATAATATGAATGAATATGTCTCACGGTTAACAGAATGTTTGCACTGTGTCTCATGCCCACCCCCTCCTCTGGGGTGTATATTTTCACTATAATTGCATTCATTTTCAAAGACTGTATGCTTAAGTCCTTTTATTGTTACCATGTTGGGTATGTATATGTGTAAACAGAACATTATAACGTTCCTCGCTATACCCCTCATTTACTTTCAACAAAATTGTCAGCTGAAGGCAACAGGCTTTCATCTACACATCTTCATTTTAATCACTTGAAGGGAATCTCAAATTTCATGTACACTCACACCCTCTATAACAATGTTTGGGTCAACCGCTAATTGTTTGCACAAAGGTGGCCCCATGGATTACAGTAGAATTTCAGAATTATTACTACATGGTGAATACATAGATTAAAAAAGAAGCAGGATGAGTGGAACTATATTGGGACATTTAGGAACATTCGTGGAAACATTCCTTTAATGCTGAAAACATGGACTGGAACATGGAAAACCTTCATTTGCAGAGAGGAAAATCATGCTCCATTATCTGCTTTCAGGAATGTCAAGCAAACTCATGACAGAGTGGCATCTCAAATAAGCCTCAAGAAGGCACCTTAGAAGAAGATATTGTCCTCATAAAGGATAAAAATGCATGTACGTCACTGTCCCGGGGCTTTCCAAGGGGAGAAGATATGGAGGAGGGTGGTGACAGTAATGACTGAGACCACCATCAGGCTGAGGATAATGTGTGTGCACAAGTTATGTATGTACAAGTTTCGATAAATGACAAACTTATTTAAGTGTTTTCAAAGATTTATTTTCATTCCCTCTCTCCATTCTGGTGTGTGTGTATGTGTGTGTGTTCGGGGAGGCTGGTGGAAGACACAGATCTGGACTTGGAGTTACAGGTGGTTGTCAGCTGCCTGAAGCAGGTGCTGGGAATTGAACTCAGGTCCTCTGGAAGTGCAGCAAGGGCTCTTAATTGTTTGGTAAAATCCATTTCAGATTCAACTTAAAATGACTCACGTCAGAACCTACCTCTACTCCCGCTGCAGCCAGGAGCCACCGGACAGGCTCCATTCTGCCCCCGCCATCAAAGTAGTGAAGGACTGGCTTTCCCGCCATGGCAGCAATCGCTTGGTTTCTCTAAACAGGAATGAAATACACGTTGCTTTTAAAGTCTGCCCTGTGAGGGTGTTTGGACAGCAGCCACTACACGGAAGTGTCTGCCTTCCTTAGGGCAGGGTTGGAGACATTCCAACAGTATGTTCTTTGGTCCAAATTGTTACCCATCAAGAACTACCCTCAGATTGCCCCAAGCCAGTTTAGTGTCTCCATTGGTTAAACTGTGACTTAAAACTAAAAACTGTTTCATAGGTGAGAGTGGAGGACAGTAATGTGTGGGACACAATAGGAAAACAGAACCAGCAAACTACAGTTTATTGTGGACCTCTAATGGTCCCATCCATTACACCCCACTCTCTTTTGCTCTCTTCCCTTTCCTCCTCTCATCTGCCCCCTCCCCTGCTTGGTGAAGGTCTAACCCAGGGTTTGCATATGCTAGCAAGCTCTGCATCTCTGAGCCACATCCCAGCCCAGATCTCTTCTGACACAGTGCCTTTAGTAGTCAGTCACACGACCACACAAAGTGCCTCTTTCTCAATTTTTCAGTTAAGGAAAATCTTAAGGCATTGTTCATAATCACACCAAACCAATGAGAGACATGAGGAATCACAGAGAGGAATAAAACCAAGAATGCTCTGTCTCCTCATATGTGACGCCTCATATCTGAGCACATCAAACCCAGAAGATATGGCTAGCAGCAATGAGCAGGGCGGCAGGCAGGCACTGTTCAGCCCTTTGGCTGTTAGGCTGTTTGATCAAAAGCAGAGATTAGGCTTTAGAAATGTGTTTTACTGCATGGAGAGAGTACGCTACGAATAACTGAGTTGCCCTCGAAAACAGTCATATTCTGCCCACACACACAGAGTGCTTATTCCTTGCTTATTCAGAATGTGATATGATTGTCTATCTTTGTGCCTGCATTTCTGTGTGAAATCAAGGAAAAGAGGTGTTGCTGCAAGCATTTTACAGAATTGATGGCTAAGCTGGGGGTGTCTCCATCTGCCACACTGGGGACTCTCATCAGTTCATCTTCATTTTATCCTAACAAAACATTCACCTAATGGGGCTGTTAAAATTTATTTTCAGTGTATGGATGGCAGACAGAGGTTTCTAGAGGTGCTTACCCAAAATGAAGCTCTGTTCCAGTATTCATGCTTCCATTCAAAACCAAAGTCTAGGTTTTATTAATTATGGTATTGGTTTTCAAATTTTGGTAGAAATCTCTATGAGGGTTTGAAATCTAGCATTTTATTTTGATGATATAGAAGAGTATAGGAGTTGTCAGAGTGCAGAAAGGGTTAAGGACATGGATGTGTTTTCAGTTCAGCATGTGTATGCTGTATAGGCACATGTCTATGTCCATTTGGTCATTGAATGAATAGGACAGCTTGCTGAGTCCTTCAAGAAAATGTACACTCCCTATATCAGGCTGCTTGGACAGAGCCCAGAAAAGAATCAGAGAATAAAAAAGCAGTGGCCAGAGAGAGCATGAGTGTAAACAAAACACCCAGGAGTCACTGAGACCAAATGCTCCAGTTGCTGGAGTTGGAGGAAACTCCCTTCCCCCACCCCAGACCCAAAGACCGTTATATAACATTACACTTCTTGGAAAGTTTTGATGTTATGCAGCTGGAAACAATATCCTTGTCTTTACCAAAGGTGTATTTTTTTTTTAAGCATGTGCGCTTGGATTTAAAATAGCAAGCTACTTTAAATAGCATCACTTAAGATGTAGAGCTCCTAAACTTCAACCTTTACATTATAAAATCTGTTGGCGATGCAATCACCCCATCATTCTTACACTTTAGAATGTTAGTATTGCATGTCCTTATTAGGGGATTAATCCAGCAGGATGAACAGGAGAGTAAAGCTCACTTGGCTTCAGGTGTTTAATTGTGGACTCAGAGCCAAGTGATTAAAACCTGCTCACTAATCCTATTACCATTGATATGGGATCATGTTCCCCCATCTAATTTTCTCCATTTCCAAACAAGAGCCTTCCAAAGACTGAGCCACCACCAGGACAAAGGGCATCACACAGCCTCAGAGTCAACAGAAAGAGAACTAGAGAGACTGAATGATTTGATGGGGTCGCAACATGGTCCTCAGTCACAGTCAGTTCTGAGGAGTAACTGCTCTGTCTACAACCACCATGGGAACAGCTCCTGATGGCTTACAGAGGTCTTCATGGAGTTCAGTGAGAAACCACACACTCCCTCTCTCACAGCATTTGACTATTGTCTTTCTCCTGCTACCAGTCAGGGCTGCTCTACTCCACTGGAGCCCCCACCCCCACTCCCCAGCTCCATGCTGCTGTCCTGAGGACCTACTGCCTAGTTTCCCAGAGTCCTCAAGGCTAGTCAAGGTTGAAGAGGGAATGAGGGAGCCTTTAATTCATGAATGCCTCTCTGTGAGCAGCTTTCCAGGAACTCCAGAGACTGAAAGTTTGACAAAGGATTTCAGGGCTTAAGTGAAGACTTAAGGAACTCAGTGTGATGAGGTCTAACACAACTCCATTTGTTACATTAAGAAAACTAGCTTCTGTTCGAGACTAGCCTGGTCTACAAGAGCTAGTTCCAGGACAGCCTCCAAAGCCACAGAGAAACCCTGTCTCGAAAAAATAAAAAAAAAAAAAAAATAGAAAACTAGCTTCTACCTCTGTTGGTACATGATTGTAACCCCAATACTTGGGATGCTGAGGCAAGAGAATAATGAGTTTGAGACTCGGTTGAGGTATATATTAGAGCTTGTCTCATAATAACAAGAAAACCTGATATAAACAAACAAAAAGAATGTGAAGAAGAAAAAGGTTCTAAAGAAATTGGGATCCTTTTTTTAAATGAATCCAGTAGTAAATTAAGGGAGTCATATCTCTGGTGAATTCTAACATCTGGTTAAGAGTGCCAACCCCTTAAGAGGTAGAAGGGCATCTTACAAATAAGTCGGTCCATTTAGAGATATGTGGACTCAATAGTTTACTGGATCAGAGTCTCATTTTTTCTTCTTACTATAGAGATAGTTACACCTGCCTACCTTCAGGGGTCAGTGAGCAATACAATGAAAATATATAGAGAATAGAAATACATATATCATAATATATTATGATAAAATGAAATATATATATATCATAATAGAGACACAGTACAAGCACAAGCACATTCACCATTGCCCTCACTCCTGGAAGATGAGCATGTGTTTGAACACAGCAGCCATCCCATCTGCTGCAATTGTAATGCACCAGAGAATGATCACTGATTTGGTCCTTTCTTTGTGGGGTGTTACAGGGATCCATATGCCTTATTCAAACCCGGCAGAGCAAAATGTACTCATGGTAACTTCATATTAACCGTTTCTAGGAACCTCAACCTATGGATACTGATTCAGATGGCTAAGCAAGTGACAATCAGAGGAAAAGGCAAGCCATCTAAGAGAATGAGGACTCTATCCATTTTGAATGGGCGTTGAAGTGCTACTTGCCAGAAAGAGCAGATTTTGGAAGTCCTTTTCTCCCTTCAACGTAGGACTGACTCCCATACAAACATTACCATGCAGCATCTTGCCAGCCTGCTCTTCTATAACATCTATTCAGTATTCATTTTAGCAGAATTATTTCCTATGAATTGGTAGACCTGGTTATATTGGCATCTGGACTTTCAGAAAGTCTCACTATCTCTCTTCCACAATATCCTTTCCCACTAGTGGTAACATTTGTTCCATTGCATTGTTGACTTCCACATTTTAACAACCTGTGCATTTTAGCTAACTGCCAAATGCTCCAGTGTTTGTCCCTTTCATTCATACTTCTGAAGTGGTAGCCCCTGAGAAGTCAGCTCCTTCATTGACCTCTGGCCAGAGCTTAGGCTGCTTCCCCACTGGTGAGGTTGGAGAGACATTGGGCAGCCACATCCTGAGGGTAGGGTACGTGTATGTAAGATACTCTTTGGTGGTAGATGCCAGAGATTCCTCTCAACAGCCTAAAACAGAGGGAAGCCCTTCTTAGGAAGGGTAAGCCAGTCAAAATAGCCAGTAGCTATTTCCTCTGGATTAACACGATTTTATGAAGGGAAGAACTACTCTTATGAGTCTAAGGAAGCTAAGGAAACCTAAGAGGCATAGGAAGATCATAAAAGCTACAAGATTCACAAGTGAACAATTGCTGGGAAAAGGCTGTCTTCACTGGAGCTTCCTACAATCCAGACAGGATGTTCTGGTAGGCAGCTTTTGAGTCATAGTCAATGCCTTTGCGTCAACCATGGTCCTATAAGAAACCTCAATAAAGTCCTTGGTTCAACAAGCTACATGAAATAGTTTCCTTCATTTGTCAGTGGTGCCCTGTGTAGGGTAAGTAGATACTTATTCATGTCTCCCCAGGAAAGGAGATTTCAGACCTCTGTCCCTGCCATTCTTCTGCTGTGCTATCAGCTGCTTGATTCTTACTGTTGGAGAACTCTGTCCCTGCCATTCTTCTGCTGTGCTATCAGCTGCTTGATTCTTACTGAGAGGATGTCACTGGTGACATGCTTAATTAATGGCACACACAGACTAGATGAAAATCTACTACTCCTGATGTAAAATTATTTCCACAGTAATAAATGTCAGTTTGGATTTTCCTAGCCTACATGGTTTTAGGATATTGTTGCTGGCAGTGGGAGCTGTGACCCAATGCTGCCAGCTGTAGGAACTCAAGGAGTTTTACTCAAGAGACACCACTCTCTGGAAACTGGGTGCATGGACTGATGCCTCAGAGAAGAATTTCAGGGTATGTCAGCATAAAGTAAATTTGGAGTTCGTTAAGATAAGGTCCTGCCTTCCACTCAAAGATCAGGGAACTTCTGAGTGTAGGTAGAGTAGAAGTGCAGATAGAAAGAACCTACAAGCTGGACAACAGAGACGGGCGCTGTGAAGTGCAGTCCTCTTGCATGACATGGCTGTTGCATACTTGAACCCATAACCACCATGGTTACAGGCACAAAATCAACCCAGCTAAAAGATCCAGTACGAGATAGAAGGGCTACCTACCAATGCTTCATCCCTACTTGAAAGCTATTGGGAGCTGACAGATGCTGAGGCAGGGAGAGTCACTTCTCTTTTGGGGGATCACCTTTGGGAGGTTGATTATTACCCCATGTATGATTCCACAACTATGTGCATTTAGGTAAAGATAATAGGACTCAATAGATAGTAAAACAAGATGAAGCCCAGAAGTTGGGAGGGGGAGGTGAGGAGAGGCAAGGCAGATGGAGTTGGAAGGATGAGAGAGAAGGATTGTGGAGTGGATATGGCCAAGATATCTTGTACATACAATGAAAATAGGGTAAACTGAAAAATCATTCATAAAAATGGTCTTAGTATGTATCTAATTAGAAGCTTCAGGTGGAGGGAGAGGAGGGCTATTTGGAGCAGGAGCAAAAAAGAGGGCAATAAAGGGCAGCAGGGATAGATATTATCAAAGCATACTGATATACTCGATTGCAAGTATCTTGATGAACTCAGTTACTTTATATAGTGGGTGCACACTGAATATTTCTGAAAATGAAAAGAATAGTGGTATATATCCAAGGGCACACATCGTCATGTTAAATTTGTGGTTTTAACTGTCTAAAGGATTAAAAGATTAGGCAACATGTTTAGACATGCTTGCTTTTATCCAGAGTTTATCAATAATAAACTACATTGTATATGGTTTATGAGGCATATTGCACTGGATTATAGGCAGATAAGATAGAAGATAGAATACAAATCAAAAGGGATCAGCAATCAAGGCAGATGTAAACATAATTCATGATCTTAATCAAAATCTCGGTCAGGAGAGGCGAGTTCATTTTCCTTTCTCATCTATTTAATTCTCCCTGTCCTACGTCTTTCCTCAGCCTCACAATAGACATTGTGAGGCTGTACATTGGTTCCTTCTATAGAGAAAGCAACGCTGGCACCGGTACCATGTTCCTCCTCCCTGGACATGACTCCAGTTTGTCTGGGCTGTTACCCCCTCTTCCGTATAAAGTGAATTTGTCTCTTATCAATAAATTCTCAGTCTCAGTTGTTTAAAGCCTTCATTTTTACACCTCTAACAATGTATCCAGCAGAAATGGAATCTACAATTCTTAGACTGTCCTGAAGCACACGAAGTCTGTATAATGTGAGCACCAAACAAATGTTTTCTTGTGCTAAAGTATTTTCTAGGTGCCAAAGGTCTCGTGTGTGTGTGTGTGTGTGTGTGTGTGTGTGTGTGTGTGTGTGTGTGTGTGTGTGTGTGTGTGTGTGTGTGTATACTCGAGAGTGCATGTGCACGGGAGCCGGAGCATGCATGCATGTTAACAAAGTTGATGTGATTTAGTACTTACCTTGTTAAAAGCTGCTCCCTCTAAAAAGTTTCATAACACATAACAGTTCCTGATGTTTTATAAGCTCTTTGTTAATTTGAATAAGCCCTTCCCAGTTAAGGCGAGACAATCCAATAAGAGAAAAGCTGCTACCACACTGTCCAGAGGCAGAAAGTTTCTATGAGAGATTAGAAGAAAAATGCAAAGTCATGCCTGTTTTGCAAAAAGTTTGGTTAATGTGTTACTTATTCAATGCTGCTAGTGGAGAGCTTTAAGAATAGAATTCAGACAGATTTAACTCCCTGTGTGTCAGTGAGGGTGGACTGTTAATAGAAACTCCCTGTGAGGTTTTCATGAGTGACAGGCAAGGGCTAAAGCAAGTGGGAAATCTCTGTTTAGCTAAGCTGGGAGACGCTGTAAAGAGCAAGCTGATGGAGTAGGGAGTATTTCTGTTGCCTGGGCCACCAGATAAGGCACAAAACAACAGTTGAGTTTCAGACAAATAATGATTATTAATATAAGTATTCCCAAATATTGTGGGAATGTGCTTATGCTAAGAAGAGATGTTTTCTTTGAAATTCACATTGGCATGGGTGTCCTGGATTTTACCTTCTCAGCAAAAGGCCTTTGGATGTGGTTTGTGTTTGATTAGACTCTTCTACCTTCAGCTTCTGTTGTATTTTCTCAATAATGGTGACTCAGGTTATTTTCACATTATGTGTTTAATGTGTTTCTCTCATGGGCTTTTGTGTGTGTCAATCCCTATAAATGACCATAGTACCAACTCAGTAAATTAATTTAGAATGTTGACAAAAATTTCTAACAAATATGGAAGTGAAATAGTGTAGCCAACCCCAAATTATCCATCATTTCATCCAGCAAGTGCCACGTTTTGTCAGCTATACTGTAGAGTAAGTTAAGTTTATAATGTGTCCTCCTCAAAAGACAGGACCAAGTCCAAGTTCCAGGATCTTATAAACACAAATTTTTAATTTGGAAAAAGTTCTTTGCAGATATGCTTAATATGTGGAACTTGGGATGAAGCCATCTTTAATAACCCACATGAACCTTTAATCTAATGGCAGGTGCCTCCATAGTAGCAGAAACAGATGTGAACAAGGAAAGCTGGTGGAGAAAATAGCTCAGTGGTGTTTTCCATGGACATCTTCAATTCATTTCGCCTGCATGCTTGCTTTGTCTGCAGGTATTTATGTGCAGTGCCTGAATCCTTGGTACCCACATTAGCTGGAAGATGTCAACAAATCTTCCTGGACTGGAGTTAGGATGGTTGTTAAATTGTAATGTGGGTGCTGGGAATCAAACTCAGGTCCCCTGGAAGAGCCAGTGCTCTTACACTGAACAATCTTTCCAGCACCCACAAACATTCTTCTTTCTTTCTTTCTTTCTTTCTTTCTTTCTTTCTTTCTTTCTTTCTTTCTTTCTTTCTCTCTCTCTCTTTCCTCCTCCTTCTTTGGAATAACAAACCTTTATTGAGAAATGGAAAGTAACAAGCCCCTCCATCCCGCAATGTCTTTCTCTCCTGAAGAAGATACAAAGAAGTAATACAAGGGAGGGGAGGATACTTTTCTTTTAAGATATTCATTTCATTTCTATTAATTCTTATTTGTCTGTTATACATTAGACTTTCTGTCTGTCTTGTTTTGGTTTTGGTTTTTCAAGACATGGTTTCTCTATGTAACAATCCTGGCTGTCCTGGAACTTACTTTGTAGAGTAGGTTGGCCTCAAAACTCACAGAGATCCTCCTGCCACTGCCTCCTGATTTCTGGGATTAAAGGTGTGTAGCACTACTGCCTGGTAGTATAATTTTATACAGTATAATGGACAGCAATATGTCAGGTATCAACTCACAGGAATCTCTAAGTAGATATAAGTAAAACATAGAAAATGCAGATGGAAATGAAGCTAGGAATGACTAAAGTCAAACACAGCTATGGCCTCTTGATACATATGATAGAGATGTAGTTAACTGGCGATCTGTGAAGTACCAGCTGGCAAACCCACCACAATAAGCCCATTTTTATGCAAGCAGAAGTACACTTTAAATAATAATGAGCAGTATATTATAGAAAACACACAAATGAAACCCAGTTGCTTACTGCCTTTATGAAATGTTAGGAATTGTGGCTGCAGAGACAGCTCTGTACTCTGCTCCTACAGAGGACCTGAGTGTGGTTCCCATCACCCATGTGGGGTAGCTTGCAACCATCTACAACCCAGCTTGAGGAGCATCTGCTGGATCCCTGCAGGCTCCTACACACACACACACACACACACACACACACACACACACATATTTAGACATAATTTAAAAAATCTTTAAAAAGCCTTTGGGGGACTGGAGGGTAAGAGCATGACTGTAATGCTGTAACTCCAGTTCCAGAGGATCTGATAACCTCTTCTGGCCACCCAACTTCAAGCAAAACACACCTACCTTGTAAGGGGATGTCCCCTCCAGTCCTGTTTTCTGTGTGTGGGTATGGCTTCTTTTCTCTGTTTACAATACACACCACGTTTGCTGGGAGCCAGAGTATTCTGGTCTTTGTGCTACAGACTGATGTCTGTTATTTGCTACAACCCAAGGCAGGGAGATGTACAAAACTAGTTTTAGCATATTTTTATTCTATGTGTATGACTGTCCTGTATGTATGTCTGTGCACCATATGTGTACCTGGTATCCAGGGAGGCCAGAAGAGGGTACTTGACCCCCCAGAACTGGAGGTACAGACCTTTGTGGCCACAGGAGGCTGCTGGGTCCTCTGAAAGGGCAGCCACTGATCTTAACTGCCTAGCCATCTCTCAAGCCCCTACAAAACTAGTTTTGCTAGATTTGAAAACAACAGCAACAACTTTAGTTTTATGTGTGTTGTGCAAATGAATGTGTGCATGCAGACATGCTGTGTGTACTTCGTAAAGGATAGGAACATCTTGATTGAGTCCAGTCAACACCTGATAGATGTTCTGTCTTAGCAGTGTGGAAAACAGGACAGAGCAAAGAACCAGACATCGAAATTCAATGGCTTCAGTGACACTTATGGCTTGAATAGAAATACAAGGAAGGATTTATTGGAAGCAGCATTCTCAAGACCTGGACTCAGCTACAGATGATTTCACAACTCCCCAAACTGTTACATAACGTCCCAAAGTACAAACTGTGCTAAGAAAACATCCAAAATTTTCTTCCAAAGTTACATTACATGTAGCTATAATTTTTTATGATTGTACGATTTCTTTTATATCCATTTAATTCATTATTTGGAACTTTTACACATGTGTATAATGCATTGTCTGCTCTCGTTGCTCTCATCCCCATCATCTCCCTGTCCACTCTTCCCACAAGTCCATCTCCTCCTCTCACAAGTCCATCTCCTCCCCACAAGTCCATTTCCACACTTGTGCCTTTTTGTTGTGTTTTTTATTTATTTTTTGACCCATTGATTTTATCCAGCAGTGTGGCTATGGGTTTGGAAATGTCCAATGGAGCCTGGTGTGTTCACCGTTATGGGTTTCATACACAACTGAAGAGAAATACTGTCCCTCCTCCAGGACAGTTCTGCTAATAGTTCTGTCCCTTGAGTCCTTTCCCTAATGCAAGATTAGCTGTTGACAGGCCCAGTTTTGTTCCAGTACAGTGCGGGCAACTACAACTGCTGTGAGACCATGTTTGAAATGCAGTTTTTGGATAAAATGTATTTCTACATAGCCAGGAGGGATTTCTCAAAACAAAGAAGAGTGACCATGTTTCAAGTATCTGTATTTTTAAATGTGTGACTCGAAGTTTAATATTTTTTAAGAAGTCATTTAGAAGTATACTTCAATTGTTTGTCTTGTCACTGGATATTCTGTACACTCTACTGGAGACTCTACACTGTTATGTCTGGCCACAGAAACAGAACAGCAAAGTCTAGCAGAAGGCAAGGGAGAGTGAAGCTGATGCAAACCACTGAGGTGTGTGAAGTGTTAGGAACTAAAGCTCAGACATCACCAGCTTTTTGTTATGAGTAGTTGGGGGCCCATGTTACAAAGGGAATGGATTTCCCTTACATAATATTTTATCCATCCAGTGTTCTTTATTAGAAGCCACTTTCTTCTACTTATAGATATGAAGATTCCAAACCTGGCTTATGACTCAGGGAAAGGTAAGCATGTAGTTTCCTGGATCAGTAGAAAAGGAGACCAAGAGAGACTAACTGACAGGGGTCTCACCCACGTTCCTCATGCATACTCAGTACAGAGAGGCTGTCCTCCCTATAACCACCCTAAGAACAGGCACTTGGATTCCTTTACTGAGGAGTGTTCAAGGCTCAGATGGAACCTACTCACCCATATACACAGTGAGTGTCAGGTACCTGCTTGGCCCTGATTTCAGGTCAGCTTCTCCACTCCTCCTGGAAGCCCTCATAGTCCTCTGAAAACCTGCTCCAGATTTTTCCAGTCTGAGTGCTTGAGCCAAGTAAAGTTGGAACAGAAGGGAATGGGAGAATGTCACATTCATCTTTATTCACATGCTCCTTTTTATTATTGTTGCTTTAAATTTAATCTTTTTGAAACAGGATCTCACTAGGTAGCCCTGGCTGGCTCAGAAATCACTATATCAGGCACGCTGACCTTGAACTTATAGATACCCACTTACTCTATCTCTCCAATGCTAAGATTAAAGGTGTGTGCCACCACACCCTGTGAATTGTGGTCTCTATTCTGGGAACAGCATCTCAGGTATTTGTTTTTTACGGGAATAGAAAACTAGTAAACGTCATCTTTGGGCTTACTTTAACAACCAAAAAAATGTGTATGAATTGAGGGCATGCATCTGTCTGTATAAGACAATGGGCTTGTTTTGAAATCACTGTGACCTATATCAATTATAGCTGGAAGTTCAAGGAATTCTGGTTTTGAAGGTACCTTGCTTCTTGCCAGAGTGAAGGCAGATTTTTAGATAAACCCCAACCTTTAGCATGAGGAGTATACAAACTTGACAAAGTTGATAGAATTCAGATCTATATATTCTTTCTTGAAAATAAAAAGAAATATTTGTTTTCTGAAGGTCTCTTGAGATAATAGTCATGATACCTAATAATATCTCAGCAAATGGGAGTGCCTGCTGCCCCAGGACCCGAGCTCAGTATTATTATTATTATTATTATTATTATTATTATTATTATTATTATTATTTGTGTCCCCAGTGGGTTGTGAAGTCTCAGAGGACGGGTTTTCCAGGGTAAGTGTAGTATGTTGCACATAGTTCTATTACAGAATTACTGGTATTCTAAAACTTAGAATAGCAGTACAGAATACATAAGAGGTCACCTAGAGTTATAGCTTTTTTTCTTGAGAATGACTACATAGAAACATTGCATAGTAGGTGATATTAGATCTACAAATCTGATTCATCAGCGACCACTTTCAGTTTACACAGAATCAATAAAAACCGGGCCCTTCCTGGACAGCAGACATGGAAACACTAAGGCATAGGTATTGGAAAAATGAACCGAGTCTCCACAACAATTGGTGTGTGCTACAAAATGAAGCTTCTCTGACCAAGTCCGAGATGTACTCATCTAAGGCACAAATATTGAGAAGGTGCTTGATGACAGAAAATTCATTTACCAAAAAAGTAGAAGCTTCCATCACTTACACCTATGACTTTTACAGTCCATGTTTTACAATAGCCAGACATGAACTGTCTCTTTAGAGTGGGCTTCAAATGCAGTTGGTTGCCCCTGTAACACTCATACCACTACTGATCAGTGGCACAACTTTCCTGGCATATGGAATGGGTTGTGTAGCATGCAAATCCACATCTGGGTAAAGTCTTTGATACCTTTTGTCTGGCTTTAGTCTACCTACCATTTGTCTGTACTGTGAAAGCTAGCCAGAAAGGAGGAAGCCTCTAGCTATCTTTCACCTTAATTTTCCTATGACCTGTGGCCAACGCATGGTTTCTTCAGAAATGGTGTCTTAGCATCTAGTACTGGTGGCAACCAAAGAGCAGTGGCAATAGGGTTCATTGCTTTGGAGGCCTATTGACCTCCCTGACCAAGAACTCCTAGGGAGATATCCTATCTTTGACAATGGGAATTATAGCAACATATGACTTCTGGGAGAAACATAATTCATCTGTGCCGGGTGTTATTCTTTTGCTTAAATTAGAAAGTCGAGAGATGGACATGGACTATAGAGAGCACATTAACCAGTTTATTATAGGGTTGGATAGTGAGAATGGAATAGAGCAGGGCAGAGAGTAAGAGAAAAGAGAGACAGAGAGAGGTAAAAGTGGAAGAGAGAAGAGAGGAGAGGCGGGGTAGGTGGAACTTTTAAAGGGAAAACCACACATGCTCACTAAGGTTCCACACTTGAGCAGAGTCCTCACACAGGTCCTTAATGTGTGACGAGTGATGTGGTGATGGCATAGCTTGTCCCTGTGCGTGCCCCGCCCATCGCCAGGGGCGGGGTCAGCCTGGTGTTGGTCCTAACACCAGGGACCTCCTTTAAACTCAAACTATTAAAAATGTTTAAATTTTGCATTTTTAATCATCTTTTAAAGTGTTTCTGTATAACTTTGGGATGTTTGGAAGTTGTGTAGAGACTGAGAGAACCAGTGCTGAGCTTGTAAAAGTCTGTCTTCTTGGATCCACAGTTCATGAGGATGTTCTGGTTGTTTTATAAAACATTGGCTCATTTGAGTAACTCTTCCCTACCAAAGGAAGCGGAGCCCAATCAGGGAAAATCCACTCCCACAGATTTCAGGGACTCACAAATTTCCGTATCATATTAGAAGAGGGATGTCAGGTATTTTTACAAAGCAACTGGTTTAAATATTCCTTTTCAAAATTTCAGGTTGGCTGTTTTTGGCAAACTATAGGGGAATAGAATTTTGAAGGAATTCCCTGTTATATTTTTATGAGTCAGATGTGTAAACCCAGCAAATGGAGACTAATAGCATACAGAAAGCTCATGCCCTGTTGTAAAACTTTTCTTATAAGATTATATCTTAGTTCTGTTGACCGTGGCTGTGACAACATACCATGAGAAAAACAACTTTAATTGAGAAGGTGCTTGTTCGGCTCCTCACTGTGATGAAGTCGTCACTAGGAGTCAGAAGCAGCTGGCCATGTCCACAGTCAAGAGGAGACAGAGGAGGATTCCTCCTGTGTTTACTACCCAGCCCATCTTCTTCACTCTTAAAGATACCCTAGAAACCCAAACCCAGTGAACGGTGCCACCACAGTGGTCTGTGTTTCCACAATTAACACAGGGAAGACAAACCTACATGGACATGGCATTGGACAACAACCATCTGTAACTCTAATTCCAGGGGATCTGATACCCTTTTCTGGCCTCTGAGTACCAGGCACACACATGGTACACACACACACACACACAAACACACACACACACATTCAAAGTAAATAAATTGTAAACAAACATACAAATGAAACCCAACTCTAACCATCTTAGAGTACTGAATAAACTAAAGGAATTTCGAGAAATAGCTAATAAAAACTAAAATTTTCATTATGAAAACTAAGTTTTCCCGGCCAGGTGCTGTGGCACACACTGTTAATCCCAGCACTTTGGAGGCAGAGATGGGCAGTTCTCTGCGAGTTTGAGGCCAGCCTGGTCTACATATCAAGTTCCAGTATTGCAAAGGTTACAAAGCAAGATACTGTCACAAAACAAACAAATAAAGAAAGAAAACTAAAATAAAAGTAAGTTAATAATAATATACTAAAATGTCACTTGGAATACTACTCCAGAATTACAGCCCTGATTGTGTAAACCTAAGAACATCAAGTGGAGTTTCTAAACTTGACTTTTTGACAGATGATATGAAAGATGCTGGGACTATAAAACCAACCACATGATCTTCATTTTTTATTAAAATTTTCATTTTATTACAGGAAATGGTTAAGTCAGGAAATTAGAAAACCCAATCTCATAGCATATCCTAGTAAGAAAGTTTCCATTAAACTGTGTCATGGGAGCCCATTATTTCATTAATACAAGTAAGTGAGAAAGCTCACTGTCTCAGTCTTCAGGATCGGTATTCAGGTGTAGTGCTGGGTTTATGTTACTTCATTAAAACTTGAAAATCTTCCTTGCTTTTAGTACTCTTTCCTCATCAACAGGAGGCTGCCTCTGGCTGCCAGGCTGCAGAAATTTCTTTATGGTGGGCATGTCACTAATTCGGGTTTTCAGAGCCTGTGGTTAAAAAGAAAAATCCATAGCCTTATGGAGGAGCCCAAAGACAAAGGCAACTTGTAGCACAGCCTAGGAAATCTGAGTTCCCCCACTAGCTCGAGTGTCACAGCTACAGATAGGCAAGAGCAAAGGAAATAAGACTAAGAGGCAGAGAACACTCATTGGCACCTTATATGAATATTTGTTAAGTCTGTGCTGAATTCAGTCACTCTTATCATCTTCCTTGCACCTTACTCTTGGAGGTTCATGACTCTGGTAGAATGCAAGGAAGAAAACCAGCCTGTCATACATCACCTCAGAGGAGTATGGGAAATCCAAGCTGGAACAATGATACAAAATACTGAGTAAACACTAGCAAATAGAAAACAAAACAGCTTATTGTGTCATCTGATATGGTAATGTCACAGGAGAAACTGGAGAAAGTAAACAAATACTTGGGGACTGAATGATATACTCTTGAAGAGTTTCACCAAAGACAATAGGGACGAAACTGGAAATTTTCTAGATCAAAGGTGCATGAAAGCACAACTTAACAGAACATTTGTGATAGAGGCAAGGCAGTTTTAGGAGGAGAGTTATTGCTACCAGTGCATATGTTAGTAAGTCAGAGGGCTCTCAAATAAAACCTAATGGTGTACTTCACGGTCTCAGAAAAACAAGGGCAAGCTAAGCTCAAAAGCAGTAGGTAGCAAGAAATATCAGAGCATAAATTAAATAAATACAAATTAAGAGAATAATAAATACATAGGATGGGGATTTGGGACAATTGACTGTGCTTGTTTAGCATGTACAAAGCTGGGGGGGATCCTTAACATTGAATAAATGAGGTACACCAGCATATACCTGTACCTCCAGCACTTGGAAGATGGTGGTAGGAGGGTATGTTATCTCTAGCTACACAGTAAGTTAGAGGCTAGTCTTAGGTATTGAAATCCCATCTCAGAATAACCAAATAAATAAGCAATACACATAAATTTTATCAAGTAAAGAGTTGGTTGAAAATAAATTAACACAGTGAAAAATTTTAACAAAATATAACAAAAAGATAAAAGGAAGCTCCAAATCATTAGAGATGAAAACAGGGATAATACCAAGGATTCTAATGAAATTCCAAAGATCACTAAGAACATTCTGAAAATGCATTACAAAGATTAGGAAAATCTACAAAATAATAGATGAATAACTAGACATGTTATCTGCCAAAATCAAATTAGAGAACGCAAACTACTTAAACAATCCACAAAAAGCAAAGATAATTCAGAATCTCCCAACAAAGCAATCTCAGGACTGTATGAACACCACTGATAAATTCCAGAAATCCTTTATAGTTGACCTAACACTAATGGTTTTCAGAAAGATTCAAGAAATATAAGGCAAGGAACATTGCAACCCAGACCCTACAAATTCAGTCAGTGTTCCCTCTGTGGTAGGTGCTCTTCTGTTGCTTCGACAAAACACCATGATCAAAATGAGGAAGAGTTTATTTTGGCTTATGGTTCTAAACCACAGGAGTCTATCATGGAGGCAGGCATGCACCAGGTGGCAGAAGCAGGAAACTGAGAGCCAACATCTACAACCCCAAGAATGGAGAAAGCAAAGTAGACATGGGGTGGGGACTATAATGCCCAAAGGCCACTCCCAGTGACATACTTCCTGCAGTAAGGCCACACCTCTTAAACGCCACCACCCTACACATAGTGTCACCAATTGGGAACCAATCTTCAGATATTTGAGCCTATGGAGACATTGGCATTTAGGTTGCTGTACCTGTATCAAAACCAGATTAAGGACAACACCAAAAACCATACAAGCAAATGAACAAATAAACTATCCACAACTCCTACAGTACAGTTTCTTAATAAACACAGACATTAAACTTGTCAGTACAAGTTGATGACTGCTGCAACAGAGCATTTGGTGTGATGTCTCTCAGCATTTGCAGGTACAGCTTACCAAGAGGCCCGAGGGCAGGATGGACATCGACCATGAATCTGTGAATGAGTGCATGGGAAGCGCTTGTGAATGGATGAAGAGTATGAAGGGAATGAATCCCAACAGTCTCTCCACACATATGATATCATTCAGTTGTTTGATTGTATTGATGACCTGCCAGGTCACAATTGTCTTGTCTGCTGAGCCGATGGGCAGACATACCAGTTTCATAATAAAGACTGGATCCAAGAGAATATCTAGAGGCTCCTCCATTGGCAGGCCCAACGGGCTGGGAAGTAATTGAGTTGGAAGAGTTAAGGGGTGGACAGGGGGTTGGACAGGTACATACAGTGTGCTGTGCTGAAGGTTTGGTATGATAGTAATCCTGTTTCTATTTTGTTAGTCTAGATAAGATCAGATGTATGACATGAAATGTAAATGATCTTTTTAATCTGAAGTCACCTTTGTTCATTTGCTTGTCCTCCCTCCCTTCCCTTCCCCTTTTATATTTAAACATTTTTATAATTTAAATAGAAAATGTTCTTTGCCACTTAAGGTTTCAGTCCTTGAAACTGTTCATTATCTGCTTTGTAGCATTCAAGTATGCTAACTCTTTGTGGGGAGTGTGTGTGTGTGTGGTGACAAGGTTAGTAATGTCCTCTAGGAAATACTTAATGAAAAAAAGAAAGGTTCTAACGTTTTTGTTTTTAAATGTCACATTCAAATCTAATTTAAGGACATGTTAAGATCATATACTCTGCTTCTTTCTGGAGATGTAAAGTTGGTTCAACATATACAAATTAATAAATGTAATATAAAAATGTGGTACAGCAATAGTGGAATTTTATTCACCTCTAACGGATGAATTATGACATTTGTAGGAGAATGAATGGAACTCATTATGTTAAGCAAAATAAACTAGACTGAAGGAGACAAAATAACATGCTTCACTCACATGTGGAAGCTAGATTTAAATGTGTATATATGTAAATTTGTATGTGTGACATGAAGGTAGCAAAGGTATTATGAGTGAGGTTTAAAAGGAAGGGGGATCAAATCAGAGTAGTGGAATATATATTAATGAAAGCAAAAAGTGGGACTATTTCAGGAGGGGAAGGGGTCTAGCCAGAGGCAGGAGACGGATGGTCTCAGCAGTAGGGATAGTCCTAATGGAACCCATTTCTTTGGAATGAAAAAGAGAACATGAATATTACAGCCAATCAAGTGTCAATCATAATCAAATTTTCAAAAAGAATTTATTTATTATGTATACAACATTCTGCTTCCATGTATATCTGTGCACCAGATCTTATAATGGATGGTTGTGAGCCACCATGTGGTTGCTGGGAATTGAACTCAGGACCTCTGGAAGAGCAGTCAGTGCTTTTGACCTCTGAGCCATCTCTCCAGCTCTATAATCAACTTTTATACTGAGATAAAGACAGTTTTGATGGAAGTGTAAGAGAGAGAGAGTGTGTGTGTGTGTGTGTGTGTGTGTGTGTGTGTGTGTGTGTGTGTCTACACACGAGGGAAATCCAAGTTTAACAACAGGGGTGAAAGCTGAGGGTAGGAGATCAAATGAAGAGAGATCAGCTCTGATAGACTCCGCAAAAAAAAAGTTTCACATAGGATGGTGAGCAAGAAAAGAGATGTTGATGGGATAAGAGAATGAGGCAGAGATTCTGGGTTCTTTTGGGTAGCGCCCAACTAGTTTTCTTACAGAACAAGTTTGTCTTTAAGCCTTAGAACAAATAAAGGCCTAGAAGTTCATTTTGGAGGCCAAGGGATAAGAGTGCAGGCCTGAAGAAGGCTGGGGATCAAATCCTACCAGCCCAAAGCCTAAACATCAGATTCCTGCTGGGGAAGTATGAGGCATCTCACCTGAAGCAGAGGAAAGTTGGCTATAATGTTGGCATCCAGTTCTTCCATGTTGTAGATCATTTCAACCAGGTGAATATCAGCCTTGCTCAGCTTGTTGCCAACAAGGAAGTCTTGTCCATGGCTCTTTAACACCTGGAGAATTCAAGGGAACAATCCTGAACACAGAGCCAGGCTGGGGCTCTTGTTTCTTCCTGGTGAGACCCTCTCAGTGTCATCTGTTAGTAGACTGGGACTGTGGGGTTCAAATTAGTAAATAAGCAGGAGAGCCTGAAGAATGGTACCAGTGCCCTTTTAAAAGGATGTGGAGAGTTCCTTAACCCAGTGACTCTGTGAGGAAACTTCTAGAAGTTGGCTACTCATGAAACACGAACCAGGCCTTCAATAACTGCATCTGCCAGCACTTTGATCTCCTTTCCAGTCTCCAGAATTGTTACAAACTAACAACTGTTGCACAACTCACAGTGTACAGCATCTGTGGTGGAGCAAATAGCTGAGTCACTCTCTAGTCCTATTTTAGTATGTGTGCTGCTCAGGCAAGCACCTCTCTAGTCCTAAGAAAAAGTGCTAAACCAATAGCTCTCACCCTGTGGGTCATGATCCCTTTGGGGTCGCATATCAGATATTTACATCATGATTCATAACTAGCAAAAGTATAGTTGTAATATAGCAATGGGAAAAAAGTTTTATGGCTTGGTGTCACCACAAAATGAGGAACTGCATTAAAGGGTCCGAGCATTAGGAAATTTGAGAATCACTGGTCTACACTCTTTTTTAAGAAGCCCTGATATGTCACCCCTTTTAAAGCCTGCTATTCTGCAGCCCAGCCTGAGTCTTCCTGTCTCAGCCTCCAGAGTACTGGGATCACAGGTACATGGCATCACATCCCCACCTGTATTATTGATCTTCAAGTCCAAACAGCTTCTACAAACCTTTTCAAAGGCAGGAAAGTAACGGTTTGCCGCTTTCTCTTTCATCAGGGCAATATTTGCTTCCTTGACCCCAGGTGGGTCGTATGGGTATTCAATAAACATCTCATTCAAATCTGCCAAACCTTCCGAATACATATCAATCCTGAAAGACAAAAACACTACAATTGTCCAATGTGTCCTAACTGACACTTTTCAGTTTGAAAACCTCAGAGAACAGAACATCAGAAGGTACTACCCCCATCCTCCTGCCCCCTCCTCCTGGTATGTGCTAGACATTAGCTATGACTTTTACTATTAACATTGGTTTCTGTGGTGATATATTATTTATGATTTATTAAAGCTTGCCTGAGGACTCAGAAAGCAAAGTCAGGTTCAAGCTATAGAGATCAGGCAGTAGTGGCACACACTTTTAATCCCAGGACTCAGGAGACAAAGGCAGATGGGTCTCTCTGAGTTCAAGGCCATACAGGGCTACACGAGATTGAATCAGTCTAAAAGAGTAACAGAGCTCACACGTTTAATCCCAGCAGTAGAGAGATAGAAAAGACAGGAGCAGCGTCTTCAGTAGTAAGTTTCAGGATTAGCTGCACTTACAGCCTTCTATACACCTTCCGGTCTCATCTCAGAACACTCATAATGTGAAGGCAGAAAAATCTACCACTTTTATGTGAGAGCAGCTTCTGTAATCAAAGACTTTCTGCTGGTCATGAATCCTACGTGCTGGTTGGACAGATGGCACTGGCTTTTAAATGTCTAGTGGGCCCTTCAGTGCTCAGGTATACCACATATATTCTTCCAGTGACACAGCTGCTGGTTTTTATCTTAATTTGGTCTGATATGTCAGGTGCTTCTAGTTAGATATTTTGCTCATTTCTTCCACAGTTTGAATATCATAGAAGGTTTCACGAGCATTTCTTTATATGAACAGAAGAGGGCATAATTTTGTTTTTCTTGGCTATACACCAGACCGAGGAAGTGGTAATACTGAATTTAATTGTTTGAGAAACTGCCAACATTTCATATCAGATTTTACTTTCTTCAAAAAAAAATGGTGGCTGGGTGGTGGTAGCATATACTGGTAATCCCAGCACTTGGGAGGCAAAGGCAGGTGGATCTCTGTGAGTGCAAGGCCAGCCTGATAATACAAAGTGAGTTCCAGAACAGCTATTACTCAGAAAAACCCTGTATTCAAAACAAATCAACAAAGATATGTATAGTGTTTGTGTGTGTATGTGTATATCCTTGTCAATGTATGTGCACGTGGAGGCTAGAGGTCAATGCCAGGTGTATTATCCTATTGCCTTCCACCTTAATGAGACAGGCTCTCAAACTTGGAGATCAAATGTCTCCACTAGACTGGCTGCAAAAGCCTGAGATCCACTGGTTTCTGTGTCCCAGCACTGGAGTTACAGATGCACACTGTTGCACCCAGCTTTTTTGTGGGTGCTGGATATTGCACCTTCAATCTGTATGCTTGGGCAGTATAAGTCCTTTACTGTCTGGGCCACGTCACCTGCCACCACAGTTAACTAAATGTTCTACCATGACTGAGAGGCAATGTGCTAGGTCTCGTGGCACTGACTCAATCTAGCTGCTGTAGTTCTACGTGAATGAGCCAGGTGACTCCAGAATACTGGGACCCTCAATGTGGTAACTAGTAGCTTAATTCCCTGGTCCTGACCATGATCATTTCTAGAAATTCCAAGTTGGCAGATGGAATCCTTCCGAGGTCGCTCCTTTATCTCTACACATCATGTTCTGAGCATCCAGCTTCTGAAAAGCCTGGGCACCTGGATTAATGATTCCACTGTTTCCCAGAATTCAAAGCTGATGGGAGTTCTCAAGTCTCTATGCCCGTGTTGTATCTAAGAACATCCATGGTTACTGTTACCATCACCAGGATCCATCCTAACGTTACTCATCCTTTATCTCCATAGCATTCTGCCATACCTAGCCTACTGGTGGCCATGACCCCCTGCATAGACCTGATCATTCAATGAAGGACTTAAATCCTTCTCATGCTATCCACTGATGTTGAAATAGAAAAATACTGTACAGGGCTCTCTCCTTCATGTCCTTCCCATAGAGGTTGTATTTGCTGGAAAAATAGTTGAGAATGGCTCTGGTCTGCACCAGCTTCATTCCGTCCACCTCCGCCATGGGCACTTGCTGGAACATCAAAACTCCATCTTTTGAAAAAACCAAGAACAGAGAGAGGTGTTTTTTATTTTAAAGCTGGGGTTATATATATGTTCTCAGAATAAAAAGCCATCAAATGACTAAAAATGCAAGCGGAAATACATTACAGCCTGGTAATTTACTGTTTCTAATGAGGCGTCCCATTTTCTCCACCTATCTCCCCGTCATTGCTTGCTAATTCATTTCTGTCTTTGTTACCCATCCAGACATATGCTAGGGAACTTTTATTTCTTCATGTTGACTTCTGCTCATAGCCATTTTTAGGGAAGTGGGAGAGAATACAACAAGGCAATCAACTGATAGCAAGGTTGCTTCAGAGAACAATTTCTTTTTTTTAAATTTTTTATTTGTATTCATTTAATGTATACGTGTGTTTTGCCTGCATGCCTGTCCGTGTACCACTTATGTGCCTGGTGTCCTCACAGGTCAGAGTAGGACACTGGATCCCACATGGATCCTGGGATCTGAACCTGGGTCTTTTAGAAGAGTCAGTGTTTTTAACCACTGAGCAGTGTCTCCAGCCCCAGAGAACAATTTCTATGTAGGGTTCTTGAGTGCTTTTCTAATCATAGCAGCGGGCTGTGGGTCCAACGAAGGCAAGAGTCCCTGGACCCATGGCTGCTATCCATTCTTGTTTCTTTACCTCCTCACACTGCAGCCGGAGGTTTCAATACTTTAGGACCTTCTCACTGGAGACCCTTAAGGACCAGCAGGGAATCACCTGGTTGAGCCACCAGACTATAGAACTCAGGTGAGTGCTGGGCTTGCTCTTCTTCTCACCCTAATGCAGAAAGTGAGCAGTGTGGGGCTCTGGAGCTCTCTGTATCTCTAGAAAAGTGGAGAAAGAAGGGGAAAGCCAGGGGAAGGCACTGGGGGTGTTTCATGAGCGGATACTCAGCAGTTAGCCCTTTTTAACACTGAGTCTCAAGTCTTCCCAAAGAACCTCCTCCTCCTTCCTATTTTCCCACTCTCTTCTCTCTGGCATCCCTGGGAGCCACAGTATAAACACACGACATAACCTGGGGTCTAACCCATCTGGAAGACACCCCTGTCTGGTGTCTTCGGGAACTTGGGCTTACCACTTCTTAACTTCTCCAAGTCCTCATTGGTGTGTATAAATTTCTCTTCATACTAGAAAGCAGAAACAGCAAGGAGTTGTTAGTTTTTCTTTACTACTGTGGGCCTCTTAACTTGAATACATTCTTTTCCATACACACTATAAGGGAGGTAGCACTCTGGGGGTTGGTCCTATTAAGTAACAACCTGCTTACAGCTATTTGGAACTAGTGTGTGGCCTGCTAAGAAAGGAGCACAACTCCCAGCCGTGTAGCTGCTCATCCTGAAGATCATTTCCCTTTCACCCTGCTCCCCACCATGACTATGGCAACTTCACCATCTGGAAGTTCTCACAGGGGAACCCTGCAAAGATCGTCTCATGGTGAAGCTGTAAGATTGCAGAGGTCCGCATCTCCAAGTGAGATTTCTGGGTCTGCAGCACAAGATGTGACTTGGACCAGCAGTCTCTGTCTTAGTTACCGTTAGCTGTCATGTTGACACAGCGCAGATACCCAACTGGGGTATCTCCTTGATCAGACTGGTCCATGGACATTTCTGTAAGGTTATTTTCTTCATTGATGGAGCCCAGCCCACCATGGGTAGTGCTTTGCATAGGCAAGAGGGCCTGAACTACAAAAGGGAGCCAGAACAAGCCAGTAAACAGCACTTTCCAGGATCTCTGAGTTCCTCCTCAGCTTCCGTCAATGACTGGCTTTAACTGTAAGCCAAATAAACCCTTTCCCCCCAAAACAGGTTTTGTCCCATGTTTTATTTTTAAGATAAAAAGTATTTTATTGTTTAGTTTTTCTTTGCCTGAATATTTGTCTGCATATTACATGCATGCCTGTGTCTTCAAAAGCCAGAAGAGGGCATAAGATCCTCTAGAAGCAGAGATGCAGGTGGTTGAGAACCACTATGTAACCCAGGTGCTCTGGAAGAGCAGCCAAGGCTCTTAACCATTGGGCCATCTCTCCAGCACTTAGTCAGTGTATTGTCGTAGTAACAGAAAGCAAACCAGGACAGTGTCTATAAAACCTAGTTTATAATTTACATGACTACTGTGGATGACATGAGTCCTGGATGTTATATGGTATGGTATTAGCTAGAATTTCCTCTCCTGGAATATATGGAACTTCAGGGTTGAAATCTCAGTTTAAAGAAAGGTTCACAGTGTTCACAGTAAAACAGTAGAGAAAAGAATGACTTTCATCATCTTGTGTGGTTGGTTACATGTTTCCACAAAATATTTAACCAAGGTTGACAAGACGGCTTTGCTAGTAAAGGCACCTGCTATCATGTCTGATAACCTGAGTTTCATCCTCATGGACAATGTAGGGGAATAGAACTAACTCCCATATTATCCTCCAGACTCTACCTATTCACTCATAGTATGTGTATGTACACACATGCAAACACACACACAAAATAAAAATAACAGGGTTCTGATGATTGCACAGATCCATTCTCATTATTCTAATCTAATGACCTATATCATACTTTGTTATGAGACACAATACATTAAGCCATTCAAATTACTTAGAAACATACAGGGGTGTGTGTGTGTGTGTGTGTGTGTGTGTGTGTGTGTGTGTGTGAATTCTAATGGGTGTCTTTCCATTTCCTCTCTTTAAAGAAACTAAATATTGGTGACCCACTAATCTGCTCTTCATCTGCCTCTAGAAATTAAAGTTTATCCCAGGAGCAATTACTTTGGTAAGAAAGGCAACCCATGACAGAGGCTGATCTGATGCTCAGAGTAGTTTCCAGTGTTTGCTGCAAATGTAACTATCACTTTGGCCAGACATGGGTGGCACATCCTATGCAATGGCAGCATTCTGGAATTGAGGTAGGAGGATGACAAGGTCCTGGCCAGCCTGGGATACACTGCAAAGCTAATAGAAAAACCCCCAACTAGGGAGCTAGGGAGATGACAAGGTCCTGGCCAGCCTGGGATACACTGCAAAGCTAATAGAAAAACCCCCAACTAGGGAGCTAGGGAGATGACAAGGTCCTGGCCAGCCTGGGATACACTGCAAAGCTAATATAAAAACCCTCGATTAGGGAGCTAGGGAGATGGCTCAGTGGTTAAGAGCACTGGCTGCTCTATCAGATGATCCGGGTTCAATTTACAGCACCCACATGATGGTTCACAGCTGTCTATAATCTAGTTCGAGGAGATCTGATGCCCTCTTCTGGCCTCATTGGGCATCAGCCATGCTTGTAGTTCAGACGTACATGCAAGCGAAACATCCATACCCATAAAATAAAACCTCAAGTCAGTTTCTATACGGTTTTATATTTATATCACATATACATATATAACTATATTGACTTGATAGAATCTATCAAAAATAGAAACATGAATATTTCTGTATTTTGATGCTCATGATTTATGATCTAGGCTTAACTCAGAAATAGCTGTGTGATTTGAGTACAAGCATTTAAGATCTCACAGCATTTCTTTCTTCGTTTGCAGTATGGAGAGTGTTTTCTATTCATCTGTTGATATTTTTTTTTTAATGTGAGACAGGTCTCACTATGTGGCTCAAGCTAGGCTCAAGAAATTCTCCTGCTACTTCAACCTCCTGAGTAGCTGGGGCCATAAGCACACTCCACTGCACCCAGCTGAGCAGAGAGTTTTCAAAATGCAGAGTACAGGGCTTGAGCCACATCACATCGGACAGTAAATAATAGTTCTGGTTACAGAGGCTGTGATTTATTTCAGTTCTCAGTAGTGATGGGCAGGAATACGTTCATCTCTGGCTGCTCCTTGGAATGTGTGATTGTAAATATACACTGCCACACTGCATTCGATGACAGCAATGGTGAAGTGGCGAATGCCACCCGTTAGCCAAATACTCGTTCAGGAAACACATAGTGAATATAGGGGATGAACAGTTAGAAGCTCACTAAAGTTGGATGGGGTTGGTGGGTTTAATGGTTATGCTGGGGACAGTGGGAGGGACCGGCCTGTCATAATCAGTCTTTGGACACAGAGGACCCAAAGGTCTGAGCAAGGGTAGGAGGCGGCCTGTGCTCAGCTCCCTCTTCAGTCTCCCTGGGGTGGACAAGAGGCGGCTTTCATACTGAGTTCATGGCTTCTAATTCACCCTTCTGTTTAGAACTCATTCCTGCTGAGGCTGACCCATGGGTGGACATCTGCATGCTGGGAAAGCAAATCGCTTATATAAAAAGCACAAGGTGGAAAGGCGCTGTTTATATCTGTCGGCTGCTTTCTTTGAAACCGGAAAGGATCAAAGCTGAAGTCCTATGCATGCCAGGAGCAAGGGTGAAGTGCGATCCTCAGGGTCAGGTAAACACAGCGCCCGGAGCGTGGAAAAGCACTGTAAGTCTCCCTCACAGGACACTGCCTTAACCCTTAATTATTCTTCCTAGCTTCCATCCACCGGCAAAATCTGTGATTTTCCATCACAGGAAATCCTGCACAGATAACAGTCATCGCACAGAGGAGTGTTTTACCCAAGGTTGCCTGTAGAGGGCAGCACTCAACAGGTTCATACAGTGAAGCACCAGTGCCTCTTAAACATTAAAGTATCCTATACAGGGAGTGAGAGCTATAAAACAAGACCCTCTCACAAACAACAATGGGCCACCTTTTCTTCCTCTTTGTATTCCCACAGATGTGCAGGATGCTGAAAGACAGCTGCGACTGTCTTCCTCATTGTGTATCCTCGGGACTTAAAAAGGCCCTGGCACTTACTAGGTGCTCAAGAAAACAATGTCTCATATGCTCACCCCACCTTGAACAAGGAGCCTGTGGGGGTCTACTCCTGATAGCCTGTCAATTGTGTGGATTGTATTTCACTTTACTTTCATTTGCTAAAATGTTACCTATTAATTCTTTTGCTACAGAATGATAAACACTACAATATATCGTTGTTCATTGGGGCCCTTCACTTAGGCTGTGCTGAGGAGTGTCCTCTCAAACTTCCTCTTTCCAGTCCAAACATCAGATACAATGTATTCTGTCTCTACACTGAATTTGGAACCCTCCAGCCTAGACTTCTGGGATTAAAGGTGTGCCTTTTCCACAATTCTTCAAGGTCACATTTCTTTCGAGGTTATACAATAGGAAACATGTCCTGACTGCCATGAGGATATCGGTTGACACAGTCAGTTTTAGGTGAGGAAATCAGTTGACACAGCCAGTTTTAGGTTCATCTGAAGACCTACCGTCTCAAAACTTACATCTACTCCAGCCGCAGCCAAGAGCCACCGGACAGACTCCATTCTGCCCCGGGCATCATCATAATGAAATAGGGGCTTTCCTGCCATAGTTGTAGCTCCTTGGATTCACTAAGTATGAATGAATGAATGAATGAATGAATGAATGAATGAATGAATGAACGAAGGATTATGGTTAATAACACAATAGTACAGAACAACCTAGAACTAGTTATCTGCTCTTGTCAAGGCTGCTAGGAATCCCAGTCAGACTTTCTTGATCCAAATTCTCACCCTCCAAGTACCACCATCTAGAAATTGTACCAAGCCACTCCTGTGCCCTCAGTTGGAGGATATAAAGAGAGCAGCCTGGATCTTACAGGGGAGGAAGGCCTGGGCACCAGGCAAACGTTGGAAACTGGAGACAGCAATGACAAGGGGAAGGTGCCAGAGCAAAGCCCCTCTCTAGCTCTTTGGCTCCTATGCTGCTTTGATCAGGAGATCCTAGCTCACCTTCACTCGGGCTGTAGCCAGACCCCAATTCTCCCCACTTTTTCTATTCCAACTCCATTTCCCACAACCTACATTGAGTTTTACTTCCCAATCTAGGAAAAGAGTAGTTGCTACAGTAATAACTGTACATACAAAGGAACATGACCACAGGTGTGTTTAGTGCCTAGTGAGTTTCTCATTTTAATCCTCATTCAAATGTTAGAAGAGACTCGGCTGTCTCTACAGGTACCATCATGTGGAAAACCTGACATTCAAATGCATTTCATTTGACCCTGACCCCTTGGGACATCCCCACACACATCATTTGTAAACTCCACACCATTATTTATTAGTGAGTTGAAAAAGACCCCATAGGTTCTAAGTTTTAATGTCACAGGGAATCTCAAAGCGTGTCATGTATGTTAAAGGTGAACATTCTGAGTTCCATTCATTTTGTGCAATGTACCTGTGGCTGAGCGTGAAATGAAAGAAATACACCTTGCTGGTACTAGCCACAGGAGGGTCACAGCTCATTCTTTCCACTGTGCCAATGCACTAGTGACTTTCTGGGCTGGGTAATCTTTGTTCTAGGAGTCTATGTCAATCATTGGAGGATATGTACTAAGCAACCTCTGGTATTATATTGTAGCCTCCCCAACACTCAATTATGACAGGCAAATACACCTACAGGCTTTATCCTGTTTTCTTGGGGCAGCACCTCTCCATCAATTCCCTTCATGTTGAAAACCATGGCTCTGTTCCTAGCTGCCCCAGAAGGAACAGCATAAAGGAATTGTAAAGCGCCTCAAGCTAAGACTAGGCAAGGTCAGAATCGGGCTTGGGCAAGCTGTGTATGAGGTGCATACTGGAAAGCAAACCACGATTTCAGATTGTTGGGTTGTTGGTTCTTTAACACACACACCTCTAGTTTAAATGTAATCTATTAGTCTTTTGGAAAAGTCCAAATCGATTTTCCTCATAAACCCCCACGGAACATTTTTTATGTATCAGGCAGTGATGATGCCTTGTTTATAGAGTGCCATGCCCACCTGATCTGGTTTCTACACTGAAGAGGTTTAAGTCTAGTCCGGACCATGGACTTGTGTACAATGAGAGAATTGAACATGCTCTGAAGTGGCTGTAGTTTTCTGTTCAGGACTCATCAACACCTTAGTTTGTCAGAGCCTGGGGAGATGTCTGCCAGCAGGAAAACAATGCATCGGCCTTCTGGAGGTGGGCTCCTGCCTGCAGGGCCAGTATCAAGGAGCACATTCTCACCTCTCAGAGGATGGGCTTCCTATCCTTAGATTACCATTGCCCCTTGACATTGTCTAATAAACCTGCTTCAAAGGCTGGAGAGATGGGTCCATGGGTAAGAGCATTTGCTGTTCTTACAGAAGACCTAAGCTTGGTTCCCAATGTTAGATCCCCGAAAACTCAAGAATCCGGGGTCCCAGGCCACGTTCTCGGTCACCCCAATCACCAGGCGGATTTGAGAGCTTGCTGCAAACTGCACAAGGCTTTATTGTAATTTAACGAGCTAACCCCATGTTAGCTGGGGTCTTTCACCCACCTGCCATGGCGGATAGCTACAAAAGACAGTTTGAAGCCGCCGTGCACAGATGTTTATAGGGCAGCGTAAGGGGAGTGTCTAGGGGTACGCACAGGCTCACGATTGGGGTGCCTCCAGGCTTGGAGCGCTTTCCCTGTGTTGATTGGTAAACTGGTTGTTATGGCACATAGGCCCTCCCAGGGTGGTTGCTATGCTATCTACATCATTGCTGTTTGCTTGTCCTTAAAAGACACCCAGGGTCAGAAAGCATAGCGCCACCAGCTAACTTCTGATTGGATCCTTGTCACGAGGCAGGCATCTGACCTCTAAGTGACCAAGGCAGGTTTATGGCAAGCAAGTGTTTGGCTGTTATGGCTGCCAAAAGGGAAGCTGGTTCCTTCACCAGCACCCATGCCAGGTGCTTGTAACTCCAGTTCCCAGAAATCGAGCAACCTGTTTTGAACTCCATGGGCACCTGCACTCACACGAGAGTACTTATGCACACAGACATTCACACACACACAAGGAGTTACAAGCGTCATGTTCTCCATATATTTCAATGTTCCCAACACAGGCACTATGGTTCTTTGAATTTTCGTTTGCCCTGTGCAACTCCAAATAACTGTGATTTCTTTATTCACAAGGTCTCTCTGAGAATGAGACTTTTGTACATAAGACACTTGTCACATTCTCTCAAAAGACACTTGTCACATTCTCTCTTCTGTTGTCGGTGAGTTCATGGCAATACTGACTCTACTTGGTCAAATGCAATCAGTTGTTCCACTTAGCTAGTTTCCCCTCATGCCTCCCTAGAGTGAGCTGCAAGGGATCTTGGAAACTCTAGATTTTTAAGCTAGTTCTGCCATTCACACTAGTTTCTTCTTGCTTGTCTCATTATTCAGTTTTTATAGCTTACAAAGATAATTTCCCTCCCAGTCCCCTACCCCCCCCCACACACACACATAAAGGGAGATCCCAGGAAGTCAGCATAGCCTTTTAGTGTATCAGGTTCTGCATTATTTATTCCACAGCCCAGAATAGCACATGGCTCCGTAGCTCAAGAGGCAGCCATTTCTTACAGGGCTTCCTTGCCAGGAAGAACACTGAGACTAGAGCAAAGCAGGTCAATGTAAGCTAGAGCCATGCTAACACAGTGACAGTCCTCACTGCTATACCTGTTTAAACACAATCATCCAAATAACAGTGGTCTCCAGACAGATAGCATCAACTGAGAGTGCTTGCTGTTCTCACAGAGGACCAGAGTTCAGTTCTCAGCATCCATATAAGGCAGTAATCACCCACCTATAACTCCAGGGCCAGAGAGTCCAACACCCTCTTCTGGTCTCTTATCAGCATGTGCATGTGTGTGCGCGTGCACACACACGTAAAAATAAATCTTAAAAATGAATAATAACCAGTTAGGCGTTGGTGGTGCACGCCTTTAATCCCAGCACTTGGGAGGCAGAGGCAGGTGGATCTCTGTGAGGTCAAGGCCAGGCTGGGCTACAGAGCAAGATCCAGGACAACCTCCAAAGCAATACAGAGAAACCCTGTCTCGAAAAACAAAAACAAAACAAAAAACAAAAACAACAAAAGAATAATAATGGCTGTTTCCTATGTTAGACCCCACAGAAAACTCAGGTATCCGAGGTCCCAGGCCATGACTGTGGTCACCCCAATCACCAGCGGGATTCGAGAGCTTGATGCACACTGCACGAGGCTTTATTGTAATTTAACGAGCTAACCCCATGTTTGCTTGGGTCTTTCACCCACCCACCATGGCAGATGGCTCGCAAAAGACCGCTCCAAGGGCCTCCCAAGAGATCTTATAGGACAGTGTAAGGGGAGTGTCTAGGAGTACGCACAGGCTCACGATTGGTGTGCCTCCAGGCTTGGAGGGCTTGCCCTGTGTTGATTGGTCAACTGGTTGTTATGGTCCATAGGCCTTCCCAGGGTGGTTGCTATACTTTGTGCGTCATTGCTGTGGGCTTGTCCATAAAGCACACCCAATGTCGTAAAGCATAGCGCCACCAGCTAACTTCTGATTGGTTCCTTGTCACAAGGCAGGCATCTGACTTTCTAGTGTCTAGGACAAGGTCATCGAAGTTCATAACGTGTTCAGCCGTTATGGCTGCCAAAAGGGAAGCTGGTCCCTTCACCTACATCAGAAATAGTGGGTTGTTTTGGTTTTGTTTTGTCTTTTAAGCTGCATTTTTTTGGGGGGCTGGGAACTCTGGGAATATTAAACTCAGAAAATAAAAGGAACATACAAGTTCTCTGCTGCAGTAGGAATGTGGCATTTCAAAAGAGCATTCATTTTTCTTAAGCTTGTCTAAATCTAGGTCTTTTTGCTTGACCACCCCCAAATGCTAGACATTTCCATTTTATTGCCCTCTTGAGACTTTAAATTCTGCTCATCTTTGGACTCCTTCATATTGAAGGAGCAGGAAGAGAAAGAGAAGGAAGACAAAGTAACAGAAACAGAACCCAGGGAAGTTGGTGTGCAGATGGAGGAGAAGGGGGGGGAGGAAGAGATAACAGCAAAGGCCCATGAGACTGCTTAGCTGGGAAAACTGCTTGGCCTGCAAGCCTAAGCCTGAAGACCAGCACTCCACCCTCAGCTCCCATGGTAGAAGGACAGACCCAACTACCCAAAGCAGTCCCCTGAGCACAGATGAGTGGTGGCTCATGGGTGCTTACACTTCCACACATTGTAGGCAAGACACACACTAATGAAATAAAATAAAGGTACCACTACCAAGTTCTGACAACTCCAACAATGTGATCTACAGCATTCGTAGGAAAAAGCAACTGGCTACATACAGCCTAGGCAACAAATCAGCCAATGGATTACAGCCTAGCTAGTTAGTTTATAAATAATCTTTGTTTTGCTTTGCTTTCATAATTTTTTAAGAGAAAAAACAGTTTCTACTTTGTACCTGGTCTTAAAACTCACTTGAACATTGAACATTTTATGTGAAATCAACATGAAGTCCATATTTAGATTCTGCCAGGCAGACACACATATCAGGCTTAGAATGTAGACTACAAGATTGTATTTTCAGATTGCTGGGGACATCCCCTCCACTTTTATCAACCCATCAAATTCTCCTCCCTTGTTTTCTAAATTCCCGGCGATTACTTTTTTTGTGTGTTCTTCTAGACATGGTTTCTCTGTGTGGCCCTGGATGTCCTGGAACTAGCTTTGTAGACCAGGCTGACCTCAAACTGACCAAATTCCTGCCTCTGCCTCCCAGTGCTGGGATTAAAGGTGTGGGCCACCACTACTGCTTCCTGACTGGCAATCTAAAGAGATGGCTCAACAGAGTGCTTGCAGCTCTTGCAGAGGGCTGGAGTTTGAATCCCAGAACCCACATAACGAGACAGGTATCCCACAAAACATCTGGCTCCAGCCTGGAGGGATAGAGTTCTGCCGTGCTCTCTAGGCACACCCACAACAAAGCAGCATGAGCATAAAACACTCCTTCATGTGCTGAGGACATGAAGTTAAAGTACTTTTCTTAGCAGCTAAAAGGCAGGATATGCAAACCTGTAGGAAAAACGACTCTGCCAGTACTTACCTCGCTAGAGAATTCTCCTCTTTGCTCCCACAGCAGGACGAAACCCCAAGAGTATTTATTTTCTTAGCTTGATTCCTTCCGGGAGCAGGGGGAGGAGTCCCTGGGAGCAGCCACATCCACAGCATTCAGGGCTGGTGGAGATGGGGGTGGGGGCTCCATTCGCATTTAGAAGGGAAAGTGCCAAGTCATTCTAACTCAGCAAAGCACCCGGTTAATATTTTGCTTTTCAAGGTTGATCACAAAATGCTACAGATAATCTCAGATAGTTTTACTCCGCCTGTGGGTGGCGACTGGGTTGGGGATCAAAGACTTTTTCCAACCGGTAAATGGACTGCAGGGATCAAGGCAGATACAAAATTCCCACTCTGAAGTTAGCACTGTAAGCCAAGAAGTCACAGACACAAAGATAGTTTTGTTCCAGGGTGGACTGGATTCTTAAGTGACAATAGCTTGGTTTGGACACCCATGTAAACCACCAGCATTCATGAGAACTGAGGGTTTTGTAATGAAAGATTTTAGTTTGCTGAGAGAAAAAGTTTTAAAAGATTTTAGTTCACAGAGAGAAAAAGTTTCCACAGGCCTTGGCCCATTACATGGAAGTTGGCCCCAACCCCAGGCACATCCTATGGTTTAGAAGGGGGCAATTGCCAAGACAACCCTCTTTGGGTCACACCTGGCTGGCCAACAGACAATCAAGGACTTTCCAGGGTATGTTCTATGGTTTTTCCTTTGTAGAAAAGAAGGTCACACCTGGGTGATCACTCTAACATGAGATCATACTTTGTAATCAATCACCTTGTGCCCCTTGCCTGTATGCTGATCTGCGGTCTTTTCCTATATAAGGAGCCTGTAACACTTGTTGGGGTGTGCAGCTTTCCTGATATTGCTGACACCTGAATGCGCATTCGTTCAATAAACCCTCTTGCTTTTGCAGCTCTTGGTCTGGTTTCTGAGTCTTGGGGGCTCCTTGGGATCCTGAGGCCCTTAGGGGTTTGGGGGTCTTTCAGTAAGAAAGGCTGTTAGCACAACTACTTCTCATTCTTAGGGGAAAGATAAACAGGAATGGGACAAATCAGGGTGGTAGTGCATTTTCTAAATCTATTCCAGAATCCAGGCCAAAAGGCAAAATGGACTATCTGATAATTCTGAAACTGAGCAGTTTTGTCAGCTTGTGCAAATATGGATAAATAACCAGTAGTGTGATATTTGTGCAGCAATTCAACCCATGTATAAAAATTCCTTAGAAAATGTTTTTGAGCCTGACTTTGGTAGCACACGCCTTTAATCCCAGTGCTTGGGAGGTGGAAGCAGGCAGATCTCTGTGAATTCAAGATCAGCCTGGTCTACAGATCGAGTTCCAGGACAACCTCTAAAGCCACAGAGAAACCCTGTCTTGAAAAACCAAAGGGGAAAAAAACGTTTTTGCTGGTTGTTTCTCATCATTCTGCATAGATTTCCACATTTCCATTATCATTTTAGTAGTTAGTATTTCCTGATGGTCGGAGGAAATCACACTGTCTCAGAATGATTCATTCCCTGGGATTCATGAGCCAAAAAGAGGGAGAGATACAAGGCTCCTGGAGGCTGCAGGACATGAAGCTTTAGGATAGATAGGTGATAAACAGATTGGTAGCAGATGATAGATGGCTACAGATGCTAGATAAACAGATGACAGGTAGATAGATGATAGATAGATAGATAGATAGATAGATAGATAGATAGATAGATAGATAGAAAGATTGATTGATAGAGCTGAACTACTGAACTAGAGTTGGGCTGGAAGCTGGAAGAAACTTGTCTGTTGGATAAATCAGTCCCACAGAGAGATGCCTAGCAGTTTCTATGATGCAAACATGGTCTCTTCCTATTAGGTTGGAGTGAGTCCTCAATGAGAAATTATTTGAAGTAATCAAAGTCTGCAGACATTAAACTAAGGGTTTTGCTGTAGGATATTATCTTAAGATTTTTACATTTGTTTATGCTGTGGAATATTTGTTTAATGATGCAAAGATGTGTTGCATTCCTTTATGTTGCTTCTGTTTAACTATGTGAAGCTGTGTTACTTTATCTGTCTAAAACACCTTAATAAAGAACTGAATGGCCAATAGCAAGGCAGACGAAAGGATATGTGGGGATGGCAGGCAAAGGGAATAAATAAATAGAAGGACAAATTTGGGAAACAAAAGCAAGAGAGATTAAGGAGTGAGAAAAGAAGGGGTCAGTCACCCAGCTACACAGCCAAACACGTTTTTTTGTTTTGTTTTGTTTTGTTTTTTTGACAGGGTTTCTCTGTGTAGTCTTGGCTGTCCTGAACTCGATTTGTAGACCAGGATGATCTTGAACTCACAGAGATCGGCCTGCCTCTGCCTACCAAGTGCTGGGATCAAAGTCATGCACCACCAACACCAGCTCAGACATGGTTTAAGAAGAAAGAAAAGTTATACAGAGATAGAGGAAGATAAAAGGCCAGAGGCAATAGGTAGACAGGATAAATTAAGAAAAGCTGGCTAGAAATTAGCTAAGCCAAGGCTGGGCATTTATAATAAAGAATAGACCTTTATGTGTATGATTTCTTTTGGAGCTTAGTGGTGACCCACCCAAGAGCAAAAGGCCTTCAAAGAGCCAAGAGAGTAAGAAGCAGCAACTACAGGGTATATTTGGATTTGTACTTGTGCACATATTCTACCCATTTCCAAATGAAGAGCCTATATGCAACTCCCCACCTTGAATGAGTGTGCATATGGGAGCACACACACACACACACACACACACACACACACACACACACACACACACACACACAAAGCCTGAATAAACTCTTGATACTATGTAAAAGTCCCCTTGAAGAGTCTTGGCTTACCATGGGAGGTGTGCGTAGGGGGTGGAAATTGTGTTGGTATCTGATCAGTATCTATATTGGGAAAAGGTTACTTTTCTCACTGATGCAAGCCTTAAGTTTGAGAAAGACACAAAGAGGTTCGACCATTGTCATCAGGGGATGCAGCGTCTCATTTTCAGGGTCTTGGACTCATAGTTAAAAGAATTTAAAACTGAGGGTCTGTGAGATGGCTGGGCAGGTAAATGCACTTGTTGCCAAGCCTGATAGCTTGAGTTTGATCTTAGAGATTGACATCCTAGATATGACTATTGGGAAGATTTCATGTTCATAATGCTGTCCTAGTATTATTTCTTTATACCTTATTGACTAACAAATACTCAAATGTCTACAACCAGTACAATAAGCTTGGGAAATGTAGTCATTAGCTTCGTGGGGGAAACGCCATGGTAGGGAATCAGGAAAGGTCAGTCTTGTCACAGCTGGACTCCTAGAGATCTGAAGTTGAGAGGGCCAAGCATGGCAGAAAAGCAGGAGATCCCTGAGTTTAGGATTCTGGACATGACGGCAGCAATTCCGGCAATGTTTTCCGGATGGGGGATGTCCTTCTGTATATATGTTTCTCTTATTGGTTGATGAATAAAACAGTGTTTGGCCAATAGAGGCAAGAAGATAGATGAGACTAGGAGACAGGGAGAATTCTGGAAAAGGTAGGCAGAGAGAGACCATGAGAAGATGCCATGTAGCTAAGGAAGGAGTGGTAGGTCAGGATCCCTCTCCGATAAGCCAAGACCACGTGGAAATATGTAGATTTATAGAAATGGGTTAACAATTAAGACAGAGCTAGCCAATAAGAAGCCCTAGTCATCAGCCAACAAGTTAATAATATAGTATCTCTGTGTGTTCATTTCTGGTGAAGCGGCAGGACTAGGTTAGAAAGGAAACTCCATCAACGTTTTCCTGTGTAAATCAAGGCAACAAACCAATCCTAAGCTAAATATATTCTTTTTTGACCTTATCACTACAATGTCCTCTTTCTTCTTCATCATCTCTCTCCAAGTGGCTGGTGGAAGACCCACATACACCAAAGCCATAGGTTCTCACATTCTTCTTGAATGTGCTAGATTGATGGACAGTTCAGAACAAACAAACCATTAATAAAGTATATTCATCCCTGCAGAATGAAGAGCAAATACCCTCTCATAATGCAAACTATGAAGTGCCCCGTCACAGCCCCTTCATTTATTTTAATTGGAAGGAGGTATTATATCCTCCATTAAACACTGGTCTGTCTATCAAATAAAAATATTCACATTTTCTCTCTGTAGGTAGAGAAGGGTGAATTTATTAAACTAAATGAGCCACAAAAAAAAAAAAAATTAGGACCTAAGCCAAGAACAGAGATTATGGGTAGCAATGGTGATCATTCATAAAAAACTAAATAAAAAAGAACCCAACATTTCATTAGTGACAGTTTAATTAAATATTCTAAGCAAAGTCACCATGTAGACTAGCCCATTTATTTCTTAGAGAGAAAACTTTTAGTTGACTTTAATTCACATTTAAAATATTTGTAAGATTCATTTAAATTGTGTTTCTGCATTAACTTTTCTGAGGAGGTTTGAATGAACATCTCTTGTTGTGTGGTGTCCAGCCGAGAAGACTATTCAGACATGGGTTTGAGCCAAGAGAAAGTCTTTGTTATCTGGCCAGGAACTACACTGGGTGTTTGGGATTCCAGTGTAGACCCCAGTGTAGTCCTGTCCCTTTTGCAGGGTGAGCTTTTAAGCAAACAAAACAAAAACCCCGTTCACACATCCAAGGTTGACATACTTCAGTTGGCAAGAACTGGTAGTCAGAAACAGAACCATAGAAGCCCCAAAGCAAGGTTAGTATTTTTAGAGACTTTCCCCAGAACAATGGGATTTGATGGATTAAGTCTTTGTTTTTGTTTTGGCAGGTAGTATTGTCCCTATGTGCTATTTCTTTAACCAATCACAGGCAAAGATGATGGGATTATTTCCATTGGTGTAACCAAATCAGCTGGATTTGTGCGGGCTAAGAATCATCACAGTGCTTCAGGGATCTGGTCTTCTGCAGTTTGAAGTCATGTCTCTCAGATTGGTTATTCCCTAAGGATTAGAAGCTCCAGACTCTAATGTAGAGTGCAGTAGAAACTCTACTTTAGCACAAAATTTTTTGTTCATTTTCTGATATCAGAAAATTATTGATACATTTGTTTTCAGGTTTGGCAGTCAAGCTATGAGTCCACAGCCAT